TATTTCCTGAGAACATTCTCACCCAAAGTACTGGGGTCAACTAGGCAGAAGCCAGCCTAAAGTTAAAAAGCTGAGCGGGTGTGGTCCTGTGTAACCTGCACAAGGCTTTCAGTTCTGCCTGGGAGCTCATTTCCCACTCCTTTCCTGTGAAGAGGTTCCTTCCCAGGCCCTCCATCACTCCCTTATTCATGACATCCACAGGCTCCACTTTTCCCCATAGGGGTCCCTGGCCGTTAGGGCAAATCCTGTCCTGACTAGAGCCTTCTCTTTTTTAGCGGAGCCCCCAAGATAGTATTGGGCAACAAGGTGCTTCTGACCCTCCTTTGAAAAAAACAGTCTCCTGGAGCTCTGAGGGGAATCTGGGCTCAGGTCACCTCCTAGTCTATCCCCTCCAAGGGTCTGCAGAGTCCTGGTGGTCCCGGTTCAGCTGTGAGGCCCTGGCCTGTGAGCAGAGCCTGTCTTCCCAAGGGCTCCTCACCCCAGGTGTCCTGGGGGTGGGGTGGAGCAGAAGGAGGGAGGCCAGAGGACAGGCGCCTCACCCAGAGAACGTGTGAGTCAAGGCCAGCTGGAGAGGGACAGGGAGAGGTGGAGGAGCTGAAGGGCGCCTGAGGAAAGGGGAGGAGAGCTGGAAAACTCCTCCTGTGCTGTTAGCTCCTCCCTATAGCTCTAGGCTGCCGCAGGGGGCCTGCAGTGAGTGAGCTCCTACAGAATGTTGAGGGCTCTTGCATTGTCTCTTCATAGCCTTGTTGAAAGAATGTGACTTCTTAAAGCCTGCTTGTGCAAGAAGGATTTTGCAACCTCCCATGGCTTTGTCACCCATAGAAAACTACAGGTCATCTAACAAACCAGGTTAATTATGAGGTGGTCAGAGCCAGATTGCAGGCCTTGGTGTAGGGAAATCCTATCTTGCATGGCTTCCTTCCTCCCTCACTTTGGCTGGGCCCTACCACCTCCCCCAATGCAGAGGCCTTCCTGGGCCTGCACCCAGGGCTGGGCTTCCAGCCAAGTGTCCACAGGACACGCCTCCTGCCACCTGGATGCTTCTCGTCTTCCTGGGGCACAGGGACTATGAGGCTTCTGCTCTGGAGACTGACTGGCAGGACTACATTCCCAGGGCCTCGAAATAGCCTGCTGTAGCCTAGCTTCCTGGGGGAAACTGGGAGAGATTATTGGGGAACATTTTTCTCCTGCTCTGAACTGCAAGGAAGCACGTCCTCCTGCTGGCAGGGCCCACCCACTACCAACCGAGGTACAAAGGAGAGACTATGTGAGCATGCCAGCATGGAGCAGTGCCCTGTGGACATTCTTCCTCAAGGCCCAGGCCCAGCAAAGCCCTGTATTCATCAGTATTGCCGAACCTTAGAATGTCTGCATCTGCTCTTTAATAATGACTTAAATTTAAAATCCGATCTGCTTGTGGAATGCTGCTTGATTTGTATAAACCAACAAGGCCATTTTTTCAGAATCTCAGCCTATTTTAGAGGGTTGGTGGACCTTTTTTAAATACAGAAAGCAGGTCTATCTTCTCTCATTTCCTAATGGCCTCCCAGCCCTGCCCAACACACGTACCCACCATGTGCAGAGTGAGGCCAGTCCCCAGGGTGCAAGAACCAAGGAGCGGTCAAAGGCCGGGTCTGCCTTCCCTTCCCCTTGAAGCTGTTCAGCTGCTGGTGTCCCCAGTGTCCTCCCCACTAAACCCAGAGGTGGGGCCCTCCCCCGCGAAGCATGACGGGTACCTGTGTCCCCACCCCGGTGCAGCCTCAGGTGCAGGAGCACTACGGGGATTTTCCACCTCACTCTACAGCTGGTCAGCTCCTCCTGCACTGACACAGGCCTGGGCTGGGCAACCTTTCCAGCAGGTCAGCACGGCAGACCTGGGTTCCTCCTCGGCTCAGAGGGCAGAGGAAGGGCTGAGGGCCCCAGATAGTCAGTCTTCAGCCCAGAGCCTCAGGCCAAGCCTGCGTTTCCCCAGCTGCCTGTAGCCTCTGCCTCTGTCCAGACCTATTTCCTTTTGGCCTCCTGCTCTCTGGTTTCCTTGGCTTTCTCTCTGGGCGGCTCCCACCTCTTCCAAAACACCCTCCAGGAAATTTGCTTGTTGCCACAAAATAATGCAAATGTGCTCCTGGGGCTACACAGGTGACAAGCCTAGGCGAGCCTGTGGCCCTCAGTATTCCCTCTCTAGCCACCCTGATGGGGTCAGGAACAAGCTGCAGCTGCAGCTGGGCCACATGGGCACCAGACGAAGCCTTGGCTCTGTGTCTAAGGGAAACTGTGTTCAACCCAGAGAAAGGCCACCCCAAACTCTCAGGTGCTCCAAGGGTCTTTTTGTCTGTTTAATATATAAAAAAGGTTTGTATAAAGTTTGTGTGCATGTTTAGCATTTGTTTATCTGCTTATCTAATTTAAACTGCTTGTCATGTCCGGAGCAGAATGTGAAGGCAGTTGGACAAGCACCTGTAAGCCCCATGGTCCTGGGTAGTGATAAATGCAGGGACACACAGGAGGGCAGCAAGTCCTGCTGTGTGGCCATCCAGGGGCTAGGCCCTGGTCTTAGCAACCTGAGCCCCTGGGACAAGGCCTGTGACCAGAGAAAGATGAACTGCAGCGGCCAGCAGCACCCTGGGGCACAGGGCAGGAAGTGGGGTGAGGGTGAGGGCCCACAGAGGTCCTGAGAGGAGAACGGGGGTGGGGGCTGGCTGAACAGAGCCCAAGGCAAAGTGGATTGGTGCGCGGACCTCTCTGTCATCAGATCCTGGCAGCCCTTCCACCCGGCTCCTCACCACTACTCGCAGTCCCTGCGCTGAGGCAGGTGGAAGTGTTACTTGCTCTCCTCCTTTCCTGCTGACGCTGCCTCTCATGATCAGACCATGATTGCTCAGGAGAGGAATGGAATCCTAGGGGCTCCTGCTCCTCATTAAGGAGAGGTGGCAGAATACCCACTGCCCATCCAGGACATACCAGGCCCTCTGGTCAGTGCTTAAAATAAACACAACCTCCACTGACTCTCTTAGTGGCAATCCTATGAGGTAGATGTTTGTCAGGATTCTGAGGCTCAGAGAGATTGGTGATTTGCCAGGGTCACACAGATGGTAGGTGGAGCCCTACCATCTGTAGGAGGGAGCCCTAGAAACATATGTATTTGTACCCGGCTCCGTTTTCTAAATTGACCTGGGACTGACTGGTGGGAACTGACAATGACAGTTAGAATCATAGAGCAGGCAAATCTTTCCCCTGTTCACACTGAGCCTTCCAAATTTGGACATAATGAGGTATAAGGCCTAATGAAAAACAAGCCATAGTCACCTTGCCTTAGGATTTCAGAGCAGAATTTGCCTCATGTTGGATGGTATTATCCAGCTTTGTTTACTGGTTGTGGTGGGCTCTGTGGCTCTCACTGGCCAGCAGCCAGGGAGGGCTTTGAGGCTCTGGGGCTGAACTTGTGGACCTGGCTCCCACACAGGCAGGGCAGCCCTCTTAACCCCCCACAGGGTAGCTCTCATGGATGAAAAGCCACAGGCCTGGGAAGCAGAGAGAATTATCAGGGCAAAATCTCTGCCTCCCACAAAGGATATTGAAATACTAGGGCAGTTCAGCAAGTCCTGACACAGGCCTCGTTCTGCCCAGCCTCTCGGCACCGGCTTTGGGGCAGCCCCATGGAGGGGCACCTCCGCCCACACCCAGGCTGCAGCTGTGCACCTCAGAGATGGCAGGCTGCAGATAAGTACGAATCTTAATTGAGCCCAAAAGCTTGTGCTGTGAGGCCCACCTGCCCCCTGACAAGCACTGTGCACTTCTGACCCTGGGAAGGAATAGCCAGTGGAGGCAACATCTTTGACCTGCCTGAAGTCCTTTTTGGGCTCCTGCACCCACTTCAGACTCCCCCACCAACCAGGATCCTCTCCCCTGCCTGCCGTGTCCGTGAGCGAACAGCTTTGGGGAAAGAGACAATCATGCCTTTATATATCCGGTTCTTAGCAGCTGTGAGCTCTCTCTGTTGCCTAGTGGTTTCAATCCTTTCTTCTAGAATATTCATCTTTGTCCACGGACAGCATCACCACCAGCTGCGAGGTCCAAGAGGCCAGGGACTTTGGTGTGGGCTAAAGGAAGTTCAGCCGTGGATCCCAGACCCGAGGCACCACATGGCCTCCCATTTGCCTTGTTCAGGCTGCCTCTCCGGAGGAGGAGACACTTGAAAAATCAGGGGTAGGGGCTCTGGAGCATCTCATGTGGCCTCTGTTTGCTGCAGAGCAGATAGAACAGGTGGGGGTGCCAGGGAGAAGAGTGCTTACACGCCGTGCTGGAGTAGGGTGAGGAGGCTGAGAGGGACCAGAGGAAAAGCCCTGGGATCTCTGGAACTGCTATGCCCACAGTGAGCTGCCAGTTCTCAGCCTCCTCGGTGCCATGGAACCCAATTTCCAGGGCTCTGGACCCATCAGCTGCCTGCATCAGAACTGCCTGGACCTTGTTAAAATTGCATGTACCTGGGTCCCACCCTAGACATTCTGATCTCAGGGGAGAGGAAGGACAGGGAGTCTTCATGCTAATAGGCCCCTCTGCCTCCAGATGACTCTGGTACCCTCAAGTTTGTGAGCCTACACACTCAGGTAGACCCAGACTGGGGGCGGCTCTAGACAAAGAGCCTGTTTCCTCTTCCCTAGCCAGCACCCCTCCCCACTGAATTTCTGTGTGAATGACCAGCCATTCAGCAAGAGGAGAATTTTTCAGTCTCCTGGTGCTCTCTGCAGATGAATGAGTAGCCAGGCCTGAGGAGAAGAAGCCTGTCCTCCCAGAGGCCCCTCTCCAGAGCCCTCCGCGCCCTGTAACTGTGCCTGGACCTTGCCCTGCGGGACTGTGGCCAGGTTGACAGCATGAGAAAACCCCGTTGGAGCCACAGGGGCAGTGGGAGGGGAGGTGCCAGGGAGAGCTGGGAATGCATCCTCCCCTTGCGTGCTGTCTGGCCCCTGGGCTGGGGCCTTGAGCCGCTCCCTTTGGGGTGCCTGTGTGCCCTATTCCAGCATTCCCACCTCCTTCTGTTCCCTCCTCTGCTCCTCTGTGCCAGGTGGGCCTCCTCCTTGCCAGCCTGCAAATTTGAATTCATCTTTCAAAACCAACCTCAGCTACCTCACCTTTTCTATGAATCCTTCTGACCACCCTGACAGAGAACTGATCTCTCCCTCCTGCGGTGACTGCAAGGTAGCACGTTCCTCATGCTCGTGGTCATGTCCCTCACATCTGTGGGCTCTCCCATCACGTGAAAAGCCTACTTGCAGGCCTTTCCTCAGTGGGCAGCTGCAGCTCAAAATAGGAATGCAGGAGGGTTGGTTTTTCTGAATTGGGCTCTGTGGTCTGGAGGTAGTTTAAGGCTTGTTTTTCCTCTGACAGTGATTTGGGAGGGTTTTCTCTTCTCTTACCTCAGAGGTGAAGCAAGAACAGTTCAATACTACAAGAATATGCCATCGATACTACTTCAGCAGGCTATTTCCTCCCTAATGCTTATTGCAGTTTGCAATGATTTTGTTTGTTTTTCTGGCTTTTTGGTCTGCCTTGCCCACTAGAATGTGAGTGGGGAGGTGGGACATTTGATTCCCTACAGAGTCTTCAGAGACAATGCTGAGAGAGCCCCAGGAGGTGTTCAATAAATGTTTGCTGACAGAATGAATAGGGTTTTGATATCTGTTTTTGTAAATCTAAATATTCTTGTGAATTATGTAAGGATAGGTATGAAGTTAAATCACTGGTCCTGCCCCAATGTTCTCATTTGACAGGTCATTTATCCTCATAGTCTGTATTTTTTCCGATCAAATGCAGGTACCACACTGACTCGGCCTCGACTTCCGCAGGCTCATGCCTCATTCCGATTCTGCCTGACTCAGACTGCTCAGGATGGAGTTCGGCTGGTTTGGAGGGAACCCTGCCGCAGGAGCAGAAGTCAGTACAAGGCGGGGAGGGAGTTAGAAGCAAATAGCCTGGGCAGGGGTCAGGGGTCGGGGTTGTCTCAGCCTGTGGCCTCCAGCTGCTCTGCAAACCTGCTGGTCACCGCCCGGGCTGAGAGGTCACCTGAGGAGCCTGAAGCCCAAATGCACCATGTTGGACATGCAGTCCTGAAAGTGTCACTCTGTCCTCTGGGGAAGGGCTGCCTGGGCTGGCAACTACTAGTGTGTAGGGCTCATCTAGGATGAGCAACACCCTCTGACTCTGGTCTGCAGAAAACCTTTGTGTAATGTGGGAAAAGGTGACCCATAGTCCAGATGGACACAGTCCAACACGGGCTGGGCTAGCCCCCACTCAGGCCTTAGCCCACACCTGCATGGCTGTACACAGCAGCCTTGACCCAGGAAAGTCCCCAAGATTCATAGGAAAAGGAAAGGCAGATGCAGGACATTCTTCATAGCGCCCCCTCTCCGGGCCTTCCCCGAGCATTCCATTTCATTCCAGCTCCACCATATCCCAGCAGGGCAAATCTTGGGCCACTTGCTCCCCTTCATTAGGACCCTGGACCCTGTATGGGGCTGGACCTGCCCCACATCCAGGGGTTCTGAGTCAAGTTCCTGGTTGGAGCTGCAATTGGCTGGGCTGCCCCTCCTGGCTCCCCTTCCAGGCCTGGCTCTGGCCTGCACCTCCGCTCTCTGGCCCTGCACCTCCCCTGGGTGTTTACCACACAGAAGGAGGCGAGGCCGGCCAGCTGGGAAACTCCCGGACGGTCAGCTGAGTGTAATTAGCCCCGTGGCTCCCACAGAGGCGACAAAGCGCCTGCCAAGCCCCTGCCTTCTACAGCTTGTTGGCAGTTCCTCAGGGAGGTCGAGCCTCCCAGCCTGCCTTCCCTGGGGGAAAAGTAAGAGCTGAGAGCAGAAGAGGGGAACAGAGCCAAGATGGGGAGGCCTGGGCTCAGGGCTGGGTCCAGAGCAAAGGGGAGGCCTTGGAGTAGCTACCTCTCCAGAGTCACCTTGACGTCCTCACCCTGAGCCCCTTGCCGTCCACCTTGCCAGGCCCCACACCCGGGTGTTGGGGGAGATGCATCTCTGCCCATTACCAGACAGCAGCTGCCCTTGCTGGCTGGGGCTTTCCACAGTAGAAGCCTCCTGGCTGTCAAGCTGGCCACGGGGACTTCAGCTGTCCCAGATGAGGTGTTTCAAGTGGCTTTGCTTTTGAGGAACCAGCCGCCTGGAGCTTCAAGGGCCTCCCCTGCCCCCTGCATGCCCCAAGACCTTCAGTGGCCACAGCCCCAGTCCCCACAACCCCCTGGCTCTCCCCCACTTGCTGCTGGTCCTGGCTCCAGGGGCCCAGGAGAGCTGGGCAGACTTTGGCACATGCATCGCTCCTGCTTCTGGAGTGATTCCGGGCTCTGCTGAAACTCTGAAAGGCAGACAGAGCCAGAGGCCTGAGCCTCCAGCAACAGCCTGTCATTCCCCAGCAGTGACCCATAGCCTCCAGAGGCCCCAAGTGTCCATGGCTCCTCACCTGTCCCCAAGGACCCTGCCCCACTTAGAGAAGCGTGGGCCCATCACTTGTGACTTCACAGCCTATCCAGGGGGGACAGGAGCAAACTGTTCTCACTGTTGGGAGGCTGGGGACAGGCACAGGGTCCCTCTGGGTTCTGGCCAGGTTCTCAGACAGGAAGAGCACCACAGCCCCTGCAGGCAGAAGTTCCAAACCCCCTGCGGTAGGAGGCGTTACCACCATCCTCTTTCTCCTTTAGAGGCTTATGGTGCACCCACTGCCCACCATTCAGACTGACAGGAAAGGTCCACTGGAGGTCAGAGCTTTGGATGTTCTTGACCCTGTGAGCATTGTAAACCCTTAACAGGACGTTGTTTCCAGCAAAGGGTAATTTAGCAACTTCAGTGCTAGATATCTAGGCAGTTCTCACAGTTCATAAATGCGCTACATCCACCTCAGGGCCTTTGTACTCTCTCTGTTCCCTCTGCCTAGGTGACGTTCCCGAGTTCATTACATGGTTGGTGCCTTCGTCTCCTTCAGGTGAAATGTTGATTCTTTGACCATCATTTCTAAAGGACTTCTTGCACTCTATCAGAATACCCCTTTCATTTCTCTCCTTGCACAGTGCACCATTTCAAACTCTCTTAGATATTTGTTGATCATGTGTCTTCTACAACTAGAATGGAAGTGCTACAAGGGCAGACTTTTTCTGTTCTGTTCACTGTTATTTTCCCCTACCCAGCATAATGCATGGTGCATACTAGGTGCTCCATAAGTGTGTGTTGAATGAATGAAATGCCAGTATGCCTTTGAGTTGATGGCCTAGGACTGTCCTCTCTGCCAGGAATAGGCATGGATCTCTTGATCATTAGGAGGTTTATCTGAAAATTTTAAAATGGCATTTGATTCCAGAGAGGGCCTTCTTACTCCTGAAGCTACTCAGGTGAGACACTTGACCCCTGTCCTTTCTTTTACAAGGTATGAGGAGCACCCTAGGGCCCACAGGTGTCATAAGTCATCCATGTGATGCTGGAAGGGGCTGCTGACCACTAGATCTACATTCTTGCTGAACAAGTCTCCACCTGCCCAGGCCTGGCCTTGCACACAAGAATCATACGTTTCCAGTCTGTGGTCACTTGGCCTCTTTCCAGCCTTTCTGTGTGAGTGAATGGGAGGAGCAGACACTTCCTGCATGGTTTGTCTTACTTCTCCCTTACATCCAGTTCAATCTGAACTTTGACATTCAAGGCAGGACTGGAGGGAGCAAGGAAGAGATGATCTAGAATCTTCTGTTCCTGGTGCTGTCTCAGACCCTCAGGATTCAGCATAGCAGGATGGTCCCAGGCAGTGAGAAGTTATCCACTAGGTATCCTGGAAATACATGAAGGGATACAAAAACATTCTGGGCAAATGTTGTGGCCATGGTCTGCCTGCTTAGGAGGTCCTGGGGACTGTCAAGAAGGATCTGATGTCTTCCATCAGCCCCTTATGAGGGGACAGAACCTCACTCTGAAAACAGGGCCAGAATCAGAGGTGAGGGTGCTGTGTCCTTGGTGTCTCACACTCGGGACACTGGGGAGATGTCCAGCCTCAGACTTGGGTCCTGTCCTGACAATGACTCTCGACACCACCCTCCTCCCTTGGGAGGCAGGTGGCATAACCCCATGCAGAGAGAAAAGGCTTCCTCCCCAGGGCAACTTTCTTGGTCCTGCCAGAGGGGCTGCCTTATCCCCAAACCCTCCCTCTCCCAGGCCCCCAGCTCAGCACCCACCAGATCCTGCCAATCCCCTTTATCATCTCTCAGGCTTCCTTCCCTTTCTTCACAGGCCTTCCCAAAGACACATCACCTGAAACCCCCAGTGGTGACCAGTCCCTTTCATAACCTCTCCTCACCCCTCGGTGAGATGAATCTTCCTTAAAGCCTGGCTTGCCTCATATCACTTTCCTGTCAAAAGCTCGGTGGGGACTGGGCGGGCCTCTTGGGTAAAATCCTTTCTTTGGCCTTGTGTCAAAGCCTTTCCCATGTAGCCCAAATTTCCCAAGCTTGTCACCAGCACCTCTCTACATTGGGCTATTTGTCCTTCGAATATACCGTTTGTCCACGCACTCATTTATCTTGAACAGAGACTGATACGGTGAAAACCATCTTCCAGTTTGTGAAGGGGCAGAGACAAGGAGCAAGGAGAGGACCCACTGATGGGTGCTGACACATGAGGCAGTCTTGGACTTTTAAAAAAATTTAAGTATCTTTTGGACTGAGAAATTTATTTTATTATATTGGTGCTTATAAAGTAATATATTTTAAAGTTATTTTCAAAAGTCACATTATTTTAAAAGACATGGATATTAAAGCAGATAAAAACTTTATATTTTGATTATCCTAATATTTAAAAATAACAAAAGAAAAATTTTATTCTCTAATGTACATTCTCTAATGTAATATAAAATGTACTCAAATTATTTAAATATTATTCCTGTACTTCAATCACTTTCTTAACTATACATATCTCTAAATACTGTATCACTGGTATTTTTCTGAAAAATGCATTACTTTCAACATAGGCTTAGTATTTTTAATTTTTCATAAAATTACCATTAAAGTTGCACTTTAAAGTTAATAAATTTGACATTTTTTAACACTTTTAATTAATTCTTCTCCATTGACTATAATATTTTTAAACGAGAAGTTATCTTCTAAGTGTTGAGGTACGCTTTTAGCTGGTAAGCTCAGAGAAGTTCTGCTAATAGAGGCTATTTTCAATTCTGATTTTTTATGTTTTTTATATTGCATGTTTTATAAATCCTTCATGGGCTCTGAGTTTCCAGTGGCACACTTAGCAGCAGGGGGAGTGTGTGGTGGTGAGAGTGCCTCTGGGAGCAAGCCTTCCATTAGCCATGGAGCCCTGGGCAGGGGCTTCCTCCGCACAGCTTTTGTCTTCCCTGCTCTAAGGAGGACGGTTCCATGATTCCACCCGGCTGGCAGGGATGGGGAGGCTTTCATGATAGCAGGCCCTGCACAGTGCTGACACTTAGAGGGGCTCAATATGTAATATTGTTATTCCCAGGCACCAGCCACACCCAGACACTGCCGTGTCCCCTGCAGCCTCTGAGAGAATGTGCTGCTCCGTTGCATCCTGCCTCTGTAGAAACCATGGAAAGCTTTAGGTCTCACACGGCAGGCTGCAACAGTAACAGCCACAATTCCCCTCTCTAGTGCTTACCATGTGCCTGGCCCTGTTCTTAGCACTTTACATGGATAGTAACGAATGTAATTCTCATAACAGCCTCTAGTATAGGTACAGTTAACTCCCTCCCCCGTGTTATAGCTCTTGATGCCTAAGGATGCCCAGGCAGTAGGTGGTGGAGCTGGGCTACCTGCCCAGGCAGGCTGGCTCCTCCCGCAGTTCGTCCTTTGTTTCTCCAGCTCCTCTCCCACCCGCTTCCACCCCGCGCTGTGTCTGGAGCAGGCCAACCCTGCCACAGATCCTGCAGGGACCTGCGCCCTTGCGCTCTGGCTGCTTTTCTGTTTTGACCAACGGAGAGCCTAGAGAGATCAAAGGCAGGGAAGGGTGAGAAGTCTGTCAATTCCCCTCACGCCCTCCATGCAGGATGGCCCAGGCTGGCTGTGTCCCAGGAAGGAAGGGCACAGCCTTTGTCAGTCAGGTCGCCTCTCCAGCGAGTCCCCTCCCTGCCCCCCACCGGAAGGGAGTCCAGTAAGCAACCGAGCTCAGCCTGCCGTCCCTGAGCCCTGCTCCCCACCGCCTGCTGGTCAGTGCTGCCCTGTCAGTGAACCAGACACCAAAGGCTTAGTGTTCCTTGGGCCTCATCCATTTGCTGCTGCTTTTATTTTTATTTTTTCTTACATTTTTTTTTAAAGATTTAAATGGTGACAAAAGTATATACAGTGAAAAGTTGCCCTTGCTTTCTTTCTCGAACCCCAAGTTCTCCCCACAGATGACTAATGAAATGCTTTTTCTAAATTGTGGTTAAATATACAGAATATAAAATTTCCCATGATAATAACATATGTAAGCATACAGTTATGGTGTTAGATACCTCACACTTTCATGCAACCATCACCACTATCATCTCCAGAACTTCTTATCTTCAGCTGAAACTCTATACCTATTAAACATGAACTCTCTGAAATGGCTTTTTGTGATTCCTTCCAGAGGCATTTTCGGCATTTTCAAGCAAATATATATACATAAAAACACAAATGGTAGCTTCTATTATGTGCTGTTGGCATCTTGCTTTTTTCCACTTAATAACGTATCATGGCTATTGTGTCATCAGTACATAATGCATTTTCCTGTCCTGCTCAGCCTTCCCTTGTATGGATATATTCCCTATACATTTCGGTCTTTCCATACTGATGGAAACTGAGGGTGTTGTCAGTCTTGCAGCACAGACAGCTGCGGTTTGGTCTAACCGCCTGCCTTGTCTCCTGCTCCTGCCCCTGCATCTCCTGCCCTGCAGCCCAACAAGGGAGACAAACCACCACCGTGACTTCAGGGCCTTCCCGTCCTCTTGGCTCCCAACTTGCTGTCCCCTCTCAAGAGACGGGGGCCAAATCTCCACTAACGCATACATTTCCCAGAAAAACTGGGCTGTGGTAGCCAACCAAGCCTGCTGGGGGCTTGTGTGGCTCAGAGATGCTACTGAGGAGAGGATTAATTTACATAAAAGAACTAGAGGCAGTGTGGCACTGAGGGCAACAGGCATGGACGCGGGGTAACGGGGGCCAGCCAACTTGGGTGGGTTGCAGGCTGAGCTCATGGACGAGGCTGGAGGGGACAATTAGAAATGGCCGGAGGGCTGGAGACCAGCTAAAGACATTTTGCACTATCCTGAGAGCTGGCCTTACCCAGGAAAGAGAAAGAGGGGCAGGGAGAGGGTGTCCTGAGTAGGGAGAACTCTGTGTGCGTGTGGCCAGATTACATTGCAATCTCCACTTCCAGGAAATGTGGGCCCTCACAGAAAGGACTTTGTCCCTCGTGACAAAAAGCCTTAGAGGTGGAGCTTTGATTTGGCTGGAGGCAAAGTAAAGATAGAGCCAGGGGTGAAGCCGGAATGGAATGGAAACCCCACGATGAATGAATTCGGCTGTGTTCGGATGGAGCCTGGTGCCTGGCTCCTGGAGCCTCCCTCCCAGCCCCCTTCCTGAGCACCCGAGGCCTGAAGTTATTTACACTGGCCAGCCCTTGGCCTGAAGAAACACCACCAAAGCATGGATGGGGCTGGGGAGATGAGCCGGTGAGAAGGCCTCACCCACAGACAGTGCTTTCTGGGGAGAACCTTTTTTCCCTGGTTCCTTGGTGGTCTGCTGAGGAAAACCTCCAGGAGAAAGCAGAAACCTAAGAGGTCACTTGGGGGACACCCTAAGTCACCCCCTCACTGATTCCCCACCCTTCCCAGCCTTCTGGGAGAGCTACAAGGACAAGGACAACCTGGCTTGTTAAAACCAGATGCTTCCATGCCACACGCCGTGACCGAGTGCCCAGATGTGTGAGGCCCACAGGCTAGATGCCACAGAGGAGAGCGGGATGGGCCGGCCCCCACCCACGAAGGGCTTCCAGAGCAGGGGACACAGCAGCCTCCAACGGTGTCAGAACGAGGGCCTCGGAGCAGTGCGGGGTGCGGCTGGGAGCTGTCGGGAGAGGCTCTAGGAAGCTCAGGGGGTTTAACACCATCTGCTTTCTAACACACACACACACACACACACACACACACACACACATTTCTGGCCATTCTGTGTGCACTGCCTCCAGGAAGGGATGTGACAACAGGAAGACAGGAACAAAAAGAATGCTTTCCTGACCTCTGAGTTCTAGAATTCCAGTTCTTTAGAGGAATGTAAGATACAGGACTAGATTTGCTGAGCTGCCTGATGCGGAATAGCGAGGCTTGCCCATCTCTCCAACTAGAGTCCCTAAGCTTGGCAAGAGGGCAGAGGTGGGGTGTGTCATGAGATGTACCGTGATACTGGAGGGGCCCTGAGAAAGGGGCCTTGCCTGATTTCCTGGGACCAGCCCAGTTAGAAATGGCCATGTGGTGTATCAGGCAGATGGGCATCTGTGTCACTGTGGGTGGCAGAAGGAACCCTGTGCACTCCATGGCCCAGAGGCACAGAGGAGAGAGCAGTCTCAGAGGTGCCTGTGGAGAAGTGTCAGTCCAGAGGGGACCAGACAGGGATTCCAGGGGATGCCAGGTGGACAGCTGGCCTGGAGGCTCGGGTGAGCTCCAGCCTCCTCCTGTGTACTGAGTAAGCCCACCAGGACTCAGGATCATCCCAGGCACCTTAGGGGCATGAGGCTGACCAGCCAGTCTTTGGATGGATGACAAGAAGTGTCTGCCACCTCAGGAGATCAGGGACTGAAATGTAGAAATGAGGATGAGGTACAAAAATCAATTCTTTCATACCTAAATATGTATATTGAAATTCTAACCTGTGCTGAGACAGAAAACCCAGACTCTATAAGGGCAACATATGTATAATAAAAGCCAACAAACAAAAGACAAACAATAAACTGAGGGAAAATTACTGCACCATACATAACAAAAACACTAATTTACTTCATATATGAAGAACTTCTATAAATCAATAAGATAAAAACTAACAACAAATAGGATAGTTCATAAAGGATATGAATTAGGCACTTCACAGAAAAAGAAATGCGAATAACTTCTTAACATTTGAAACACTTTTCAACCATAATTGGAGAAATGTACATTAAGATGACAATGAGATACCATTTTTCACCTATCAGAAGGGGGAAGACTTATAAGTTTAACAAAGCCTGATGCTGCTGAGAGAGAGGACGGGCAACAGCCTCTCTCAATGCCTGTTGATGGCAGGGGAAACTGGCACAGCCTCTTTGGAGAGCAAGTTGGAAACACCTATCAAAAATGAAGTGCACATTTTTTTTGGTCCTGCAATTCCAGTTCTAGGAATTTCCGCTTCAGGTACATCCCTACCTATTCACTAGGATGTCTGTTCAAGGATATTCACAGTAGCATTGTTGTTAATGGCAAGAAAGTGGAAACAACCCAGATGTCCATTAATAGGGCATGGGTAAGTAAATAAATAGACACTTCAATGGAATACAATGTGGCCATTCAAATGAAATAGAGCTGTGTATACTGATGTGGAAAGATCTCAGAAATACACTGTTAATTTTTTAAAAAGCAAAATGCGGAACACTATGTATAGTTGTCATTAAACATATATATGCAAATATATGCATATTTATAAATGAACATTTCTAAAGATGCACAAGGTTAAGCATATATCCATATATTCTCATGGAATGATCTTGTACTGTTTGAATGGTTCAGCCTCTGTTA